TCGAAGCAGCTTGGCGGGGACTGTCCGTAAGGACCGACGGCCACCGGCATCTGTGGGTGCGAGGGATAGGGAAGTGCGGGCCCTGTCGCCAGCCCGGGACGAGGGCAGCAGACCGCGTCCGGGGACCCAAAGAAGGGTTCGGGGAAGTCGGCGACAGAAAACCAGCGCGGAACGCGACTCCACCCACCCCCTTGGCGTTCGGGCCCCGCATCGTACCGCGCGTCTGGGTTCGGGCCGCCCCCACCTCACCTCGCTCGCGGCCTCCGTCGTTCGGCTCTACGTCTCACTCCGAAAGCTAGGCGGAGGGCGCTCACGGCCTGGCCCGCGGAATCGCTTCCGGAACGCGAGGCGGTACTTCCGGGTGCGGGGACCGAGGACTGCGTGGCGTCGGGTGGTGGGCTCTGCCGCCGGGACCATGCTGCTGCGAGCCGCTTGGAGGCACGCCGCCTTGGCGACGGCGGCCCCGGGGTCGAGGCCCGTGGCGCCCACTCGGGGGCTGCGCCTGCGCGGTACGCTCCTGCCACCTGCGGACCCTTCCCCTTGGCGCGGCGACGCACCTGAATATTCCGGAGCCTCCCAGTCCCGCCCTGTGGCGCAGACCCTCCGACCCTCTCGCCCCTCATGCTTTCTCAGGTCGCGCCTCGGCAGTGTTAGATCCTGTCCGTAGGCCCTCAAAGTCTTGTTCGTCCTTCACACCTTTCCTGACCAATTTTTAAGAGAGGTTGGTCGAGGCTCCTGTCCCGTCAGTAAACTTTGAAAGAGATCTCACCTACTCTGTCTCCACATTACTTTGAAATGGCTTTGCCCTTTTAATTCCTCCTCCCTACCAGCGATACAATTTGAGAATTGCTTCAACAGTCCCTCTCTTTCTCACACATGTACACGCAGTCTTTAGACAATGTCCCAGGTTCTCTGATGTTTTGTTTCCTTTCCATGAAGATTCGATCCCAGCATCCCTTAAATTTGTGGCCTCACCTCCGTCCGCTTTTACCTTCTGCTTTCTTGGATGCTCAGCAGTTTAGCATCCTCTCTTACTTGTCCCCTCCGTTCTGTTTTCAGTTGTGGACCATGCTCCCCAGTCGACTGTTCCCTCAGATACAGCCTCGGATGCCGAGTCAGTGCTGCGACCTCTCTATATGGATGTACAAGCTACAACTCCTCTGGTAAGGTTGGAGGGGCAGCTTTAGCCAAGGCTATTTATAGAAAATAAATGATAGTGACATTGCACACGAATGACTGGATCCTTAATAGAAGTGAAAGCCATCGAGTTGTTCTGGGGAAAGCAATGCATCAGGAGGTTTAAATTCCGTCCACTGTAAGTGGCCCTACCACTTATTATAATGGCTACGGACTCTGTTTCTAGGCTTTAAGTTTCAAGGAAGTTTCCTTACTTCAAAACTGCTTTTCTTTTTTTGGAGAGGTTTTTGCTATAGGGTGCATGTGCTCACCAGACAGACAGAGAGAGACAGACAGAAAGCGAGAAATCACCCCCCAGGGGGGATGGCCATGCTGCAATCCCTTCTCCTCCATTCTCCTCTCGGGATCTTGGGCACGCACGCACACGCGCCCGGTGTGAGTTTTAAGCCACCGGGTCCGGGGCGCGAAACACGGTCGACTACGTGGGAGTCCAGCGACATAGCCATTATGCTAACTGCTGGTCCCAAAACTGCTTTTCTTGAAATTACCAGCTGAACTTGCTATTGAAAGTAGTTAGAATACTTATAAAATTGTGTGACCAACAAAATGGGGGAGGGGGGACTGAAGACAACTGTAGACAGCAGAGATAGTGTGAGAAGAGGGTGGGAAAGGGCAGAGGGTCAGACATGGGGTAAATATATATATATATATATTTATAGAAATAGAAATAGAAAATCATTGATGATAACATGCATGATTAGGCCACTATGCAGTTTATTCTAGATGGGGTACCACATATGGTATGTTGTGACGATTCTTAGGGGATCAACGTAAATTAATTCATTTTAAAAAGTTTCAGGAGAAAAAAAATCCACGAAAACGGTTTTTATTGAAAATTTTTTTTAAATGTGTATTTGATGACTGCAGTAAGCTATATAGCCCCAGCTAGGTGCTACTTTATAGTATGTTCATTCTACTCACTGAGGTTTATGCCTAAAGTCAGACTTATGTTCATGTATATGTATATATCAGGTGTGCTTGCAATTGGAAATATTTAGACTAATTAAGTTCATTACCGAATCAATTAAGTGGGGGTATAAGGTATAGAAAGCAACCATGGATACCAGAGACAATGTGGGAGGAGGGGAGGACATGGCATAGCATGAGGGATAGAGAATCAAGGATGGCAAAAAAAAAAAAAAAAAGCAAAATATACAGGAAATAAATGGAAAATTATTTGTTGATAACACGTATGTTGATGTGCTTGATTGAGCCAATATACAGTGTATTCTGGATGGGAAATCTCATTTTGTATGCTGTAATGGTGTATAGTGAATGAATGTAAATAAATAAATTTAAAAAAAAAATGGTTACAGACTTTTGTTAATTCATTTTAGTTCAGCCACAATAGTCATAGTTGAAAGCATGGGCTCTAGAATTAGCCAGACTGCCATTTAGTAACTATGTGAACTTGGGCAATTCTTAAATGGGTTAAAAGATGTGGAACCAGCAGTTAGCGTAATGGCTATGTCACTGGACTTCCACGTAGTCGACCACAGTTCGAGTCCCAGACCCGGTGGCTTAAACTCACGCCAGGCGCGTGTGCATGAGTGCCCAAGATCCTGAGAGGAGAATGGAGAAGAAGGGATTGCGGTGTGGCCATCCCCCCTGGGGGGTGATTTCTCGCTTTCTACCTCTCTGTCTGTCTGGCGAGCGCACGCACCCTATAGCAAAAACCTCTCCAAAAAAAAAAGGGTTAAAAGACGTAAAGCAGTTCAGCACATGATAAGCACTCTAATATTAATGTATATTTTCTCCAGTGTGTGAGAAGGAGTGTTTGCCTGGACTCTGTCATGTCCTAGTCCCTCAGATCATATTGCCTGGCAGAAATGGAAACACCTGCAGAAATAGCTGTCAGAAAAAGGCAATGTTTTTTAGTTTGTTTGTTTTTAGAGATTTTTGCTATAGGGTGCATGCGCTCACCAGACAGAGAGAGACAGACAGAAAACGAGAAATCACCCCCCAGGGGGGATGGCCACACTGCAATCCCTTCTCCTCCATTCTCCTCTCGGGATCTTGGGCACGCACACACACGTGCCTGGCGTGAGTTTAAGTCACTGCATCCAGGACACGAACTGCCGTCGACTACATGGGAGTCCAGCGACATAGCCATTACACCAACTGCTGGTCCCAGAAAAAGGCAATGTTGGCAAACTATCAAGGAACAGTAAAACAGTCTGATTTAAGATCTTTGGGAGTGGAAGTATATGAGAGGATCTTCAAAACGTTCATGGATAATTATTATGAATAAACTGCATAGCTTTCAATATTTTTTGGTACCGAAATATACCCATACTTTCATTTTGTTTTTTAAAAATTTTATTTTCTTTATTATTATTTTTAAATTTGTTATAGGGCACACATTTTCACAAGAGAAAGTCCGAGGGAAAGCTAGAGAGGGAGGGAAAGTGAGAAAACAAGCCACCACGTCAGGACTCAAACCATGGTCACGTGTGGGAGTTGGTGCCCCAACCACCATACCACCTGCTGGCCCTTTAATTCCATTTTCAATGAGCTTTTGAAGTTCCCTCATATTTGGTTGCTATTTCATTAATACCTAAGGGGACAGAAGAATGTTTGAGACCTGAGACAAGCCATGTCTGCAGGGTTGAATGTTTAGGCAGGGTGGGCAGGCAGGTCTGGGGATGGAATAGGGCCTGAGCTGACTGTGGGTTCAAGGAGAATAATTCATTTTGTTATGTCCAGGACCCCCGGGTGCTTGATGCCATGCTTCCTTACCTAGTCAACTACTATGGGAACCCACATTCCAGGACCCACGCTTATGGTTGGGAGAGTGAGGCAGCCATGGAACATGCTCGCAAGGTTAGTACAGATGCATCTGGAAACTGGCCTGTGGGAGGGCATTTCTATCTTGGTAGACGTGGCTCCAACTGGAAATGGTTTGGAGTTCTTTCTGGAAGAAATTAAGAGAGCAACATTGGAGTTTTACTGTAGGCAGTTGAATAATTTTTATTTATTTTTATTTTTTGTTACAAGGTATGTATGCTTGCTGGAGAGAGAGAGAAAAGTGAAAAATCACCTGCAAGGGGGGATGGCCACACCTCAATCCCTTCTCTAGTTTCTTCTCTGAATTCTGAGCATGTGTGCGCTGTTTTTTTCAAGCTGTGCAGGTCTGAGACTCAAACTGTCAAGATAGTCTAATAGGATCTAGCCTCTTTAATCTCCAGGACAGTGTTGGCCTTTACTTATTTATTTTTTAAGTTTTTGCTGTAGGACACTTGTGCATACCTGAGACAATCAAACAGTAACAGAGAGAAGGCAAGCAAGAAATCATCCCCCGGGGAATAAGCCACACTATAATCGCTTCTTTTCTGTTTTCTTTTTTGGATTTTAGGATCACACATATATGCCTGGAATGTTTTTAAGCTGCCGCCAGGTACAGGATTCAAACCGTTCAGTTGGCCTGTGGGATCCAGCTACCTTAACCACCATGCCACTGGCTGGTGCCAGCATTTAGTTAATTTTCACAATTCCTAGATAAAAGACCATGGGTAGGCTAACTTAATTTTCTAAGCGTCAATTTCCTTCAAATGTATCAGTTATTTATTTACTTCATTGCCAGAGAACACATGTGCTTGCCAGAGAGAGACAGAAAGGGAGAAAGCACCCCTATGGGGTATGGTCATACCGCAATCCCTTTACTCTCCATCCTCTCAAGATTTTGGGCACAGATACACATGCCCTTGTTTTTCAAGCTACCAGGGCTGGGATTCAATCCACAGTTGGCCACATGTGGCTTGATTCCTTTAGCCACTGCTCCATGGGATTGACTCTCCTCAGATTTAAAATGGAGATGTAATGGGCCTATTCCTCAGGGTTATTGGTTGGCTTAAATGAGACAGTACTGGTAAAGTGTTTATTAACAATACTTAGGGCTTAGGAACAGCAGATGGTGTAATGGCTACATCACTGAACTCCCATGTAGTTGACTGTGGTTCAAGTCCCGGACCTGGTGGCTTAAACTCACGCCAGGCACGTGTGTGTGCGTGCCCAAGATCCTGAGAGGAGAACGGATTGCGGCATGGCCATCCCCCATGGGGGCTGATTTTTCCTTTGCTATCTCTCTCTGTCTTTCTGGCAAGTGCACACACCCTATAGCAAAAACCTCTCAAAAAAAAAAAAAAAAACAGTATTTGGGGCACAGGGCATGGGGGTTAAGGGCGTTGGACTCCCACATGCCCAACTGTGGTCGACTGCAGGCCCTAGTGACTTGGTTTCTTACTTTCCCTCTCTCTTTCTCTCTCTTGCTCTCACTCTGTCCCTCTCTGTTCAAATTTAAATAAATAAATAAAGGTAAATAATTCTTAAGAGAAAAACTTACACATGTTAAGAGCTCAATAAATGCATATTTTGACTCTCCTGCCTCAGCCTCCTGAGTAGCTAGTAATACAGGCAAGTACCACTGAACCTTGCTCTTTTAGAGGGTTAAGACTTGAACCTAGGCCTGCCATGATGTCTTAAGTAGCAGGATAGCAGCACTAACCAGTGTGTTCTACTGAGGCTGGGACAATAAGTGTATTAGACAAATAAAAAACACTAATAATAATATTGTGGTATTGTTTTATATTAGGGTAAGAAAGTCTGGGATCTGGGATATAATGAATCTTTTTCTTGTCTGACCCTAGTAGGAACAGAGCTTCTTCATGGGCAGGTGGTAGAATGTGTAGAGATCTTCTTGCCCTGGAGCGCTCTTTGTTCCAGCTGTGTCTGCAGCCCCTTTCCTCTCTGGGGAACTGATGTTCTGTATCTCTGTTTCTTTGTTTGCAGCAAGTAGCGTCATTGATTGGAGCTGATCCTCGTGAGATTATTTTCACTAGTGGTGCTACTGAGTCTAACAACATAGCAGTTAAGGTAAGAGAAGGGAACCAGAGGGCACCTTGAGTTTTCCTTTCTTGGGTGATAGTGCTTCCATCATTTGGACTCATATATGTATTTCCTAGTCCCCTACCCTCATCATATTGTAGAGAAGATAGTTTTTATGATTTAGTTCTTCCTTTAACCCTTTGCTATCCATCCTATTTAAATCCTTGCTCCTATAGGTTTGAGTTTAGTGAAGTAGTTGAATAGGAGAGGAGGTGATTCTTGGCCATTAATTTCTTGGATTTGGATGGCAGCTACTTCAGTGAGTGGATAATGGTGATAGCCCTTTCCCCCATTCTTTTTTTTTTTTTTTTTCAAAGAATTATTTATTTAATTTTATATATTCATTTATTATTATTATTTTTAATTTGACCACAGAGAGAGAGAGAAAGTAAGAAAGCAAGCCACCAGGTCTGGGACTCGAACCATGGTCTGCCATGTGGGAGTGTCCAGCGCCTTAACCACCACCCCACCTGTTGGTCCCTTCCCCCATTCTTTTGATCTAGTAACAGTGAAGTCCAGAGTCACTTGTACTTAAACATGTTTTTCTGCTTCTTCTCACTAGATTCACCCTTACATGTATGATATGATACCATATCACTATATTATACCTATTATATTATCATGTTATTTATTTAAGGTTTTTTTAAGTTTTTTTTTTTTTTTCTTGAGAAGTTTTTGCTATAGGGGGTGTTCACGCCTCAGAAATACAGACATAGGGCGTGTGCACTCGCCAGAAAGACAGAGACAGACAGAGAGACAGAAAGCGAGAAATTACCCCCTTGGGGGGGAATGGCCACGCTGCAATCCCTTCTCCTCCATTGTCCTATTGGGATCCTGGGCATGGACACACACGCGCCCAGTGTGAGTTTAATCCACTGGGTCCAGGACTTGAACCGCAGTCGACTACATGGGAGTCCAGCGACATAGCCATTACGCTAACTGCTGGTCCCATGTTATTTATTTTGAAAAATTTTGCTATAAGATACATATCTTTACCAGAGAGAGAGAGAGAGAGAGAGAGAGAAAGAGAAAGCACTTCCCAGGGGATGTCTGTGCTACAATCCTCTCAGGATTATGGGCATGTATGCCTAGTGTGTTTTTCAAGCCACTGGGTATGGGACTCAAACCACACTATATGGGAATCAGCCATATGGCATCCAGCTGTTTTAACCACTATGCCACCGGCTGGCCTGTCGTGTTATTTTATTTTGTTATGTTATTTTAAATTTTATTTTAGGCCATCCCTCCTCAGTCTTTCCTTTTCTTTCCTTTCCTATCCTTATTTATTTATTTATTTATTTATTTCATGATTGAGAGAGAACAAGAGAATAACAGAGAGACCGTGGCCCCAACAGGGTCTTGACATGTGTGCTACCCTAGCTCCTGATTATGTACACACCCATGCCTGGTATACTCATGGAAGCCCCTGGGTGTGAATGTGGAGCTTTTCCATGCATGTTAGCTTCATAGAGTTTCATTTTATTGCTGTATCATCATCCAGCCCCTTCCCTTTTCTTTTTGATCAGATGTTTGCAACAAATTCCTCCTGTTTCTTTAGATGTCTCCCTTTTGAAGTGCTTGTTGTTGCAATACTCGCTGCAGACATTTATTTGGCCAACATTCTGGAATCAGTCATTGTCTACTTGGGACAGATCCTTAGTGCTAACATAAGTTAAATTTCACTCTTTGTAGTCATGCTGGTGTTTCACAGAACATAATCACATTTGACTGGGCCTGGTTGCTAGAATTTCTTGAGTAAAGGTCAAGGCTGTGAGAAATCATGGCCTATTATATGTTCAGCTCTTGCTCTACCCCCTCTCATCTTTGTCTCTCAACTCGGCTGCCAATAGTCATTTTTCTGGCCTTGACCTGAGTGTAGGAGGCCTGGGCTGGGTTCCAGAGTTATCAGCGCTCTGCATGATCCTATTAGCAGAAAGCCATCCTTCCTTCAGATTACAACATAGACCACAGAATTAGGGAGGAGGTCCCTCCAAAGGTAAGATTGGTTTCTAGAATGGGCAACATTTCTATCTTTGAAATGTTTGCTTTATAAGTCTCCACAGATCTCAGACCTAGAGATTAATAATTTCTTTCTTTTTTGTTTTGAGAGATTTTTTTTCTATAGGGCATAAGTGGTCACTAGAAAGACAGAGACAGAGAGACAGAAAGCGAGAAATCACCCCCCAGGGGGCATGGCCACGCCACAATCCCTTCTCCTCCATTCTCTTGTCGGGATCTTGGACACACACGCACATGTGCCCAGGGTGAGTTTTAGCCACTGGGTCTGAGACTTGAACCACAGTTGACTACATGGGAGTCCAGTGACACAGCCATTATGCCGTCTGCTGGTCCCAAGAATTAATTTCTTATATCTTTTCAGGATAAAGCACGTGTGTTTACCAGATAGTGAGATGGAAGGTGAGATCACCCACATCTCCAGTGGGTGGGTGGCAACACCACAGTCCCTTCCCTTCCATTCTCCTCTTGCGATTTTGAGCAGGCATGTACACGTACCTGGCATGATTTTCAAGCTGGGTCTAGGATTCAAACCACAGTGTCAGCTATGTGGGATTCAGCCACCATAACCTCCGTGCTGCCTGCCGTCCTGATGGTATTCCTTTTAGTCTCTTAGATGGATAGAGTAAACATCTATTCATCATTGGAGAATTCTATGGATGAGTAACTGAGTTCAGAGAGGGTAGAGCTAGAGCAGGATATATAAGTTACACTGTTTATAGGGGACCAGCAGGTGGCGTAGTAGTTAGGGTGCTGGATACTCCCAAGTAGTTGACTGCGGTTCAAGTTCCAGACCTGGCTGCTTGCTTTCTCGCTTTCTCACTTTCTCTCTGATCAAATGAAAATAAAATGAGTAATAAAGTTAAACGAAATAATTCTTTAAAAAAAATTACACTGTTTATAAACAATAGTAACAAAATTTCAAACTATTCTCCACCCTCAACTACTTTTCCTTTTTGTTTTTTTTTTTTTGGAGAGGATTTTTTCGCTATAGGGGGCATGCACTCGCCAGGCAGACAGAGAGAGACATAGAGACAGAAAGCGAGAAATCACCCCCCAGGGGGGATGGCCACGCCGCAATCCCTTCTCCTCCATTCTCCTCTCGGGATCTTGGGCACGCACGCACACGTGCCCAGTGTGAGTTTTAAGCCACCGGGTTCGGGACGTGAACCGCAGTTGACTACGTGGGAGTCCAGCGACATAGCCATTACGCTAACTGTTGGTTCCCCTATTGTTTTGTTTTGTTTTTGGAGAGGCTTTTGCTTTAGGGCACGTGCGCTCGCCAAAAAGAGAGAGAGAGACAGAAATTGAGAAATCATCCCCTAGGGGGGATGGCCATCACTTCTCCTTCATTCTTCTCTTAGGATCTTGGGCACACATGCACATGCACCTGGTGTAAATTTAAGCTACCAGGTCTAGGACTCGAACCGTGGTCAACTACGTGCAAGTCGAGCAACATAGCTGTTATGCCAACTGCTAGTCCTGTCATTTTTCTATTACTTATATAATACTTTTGGGGATAAATAGAGTAGAATCAGGTTTTTTAAATTATTTTATTTAGGGACCAGCAGGTGGTGTTGTGGTTAAGGACACTGGACTCCCACATGGCTGACTGCAGTTCAAGTCCCGGACCTGGTGGCTTGCTTTCTCACCCTCTCACTCTCTCTCTCTCTCTCTCTCACTCACTCTGTCTCTTCCAGGTAAAATTAAAATAAATAAATAAA